AAGGGGTCCGGGCTCCTTGGGGTTTTTGGGGTGGGGGGGGAGTTGTTGCCCTTGGGGGGGGTTCTTCCCTTTTCCCGCCCGTTTCCCGTTTTTTTTTTTTTGGGGGTTTTGGGGGTTTTGGGCCTTTCCCCTTGTGGATGTTCCCCCCCCCCCCCCCTTATCCCCCCTCTCTTCCGTTCCCTCTCTCTTCTCTCTCGCTCATGTCCCTCTTGGTGCCGTTCTTCGTCTTTTCATCGGTCCCTCCTCTTGTGTATCTCACTTTTCCTCTGCTTGTTACCTTCGCGTGCGTCGCCAGCCGTCTAGCGCCGGCGGAGGGATGGGCAGACCGGTGGGGCTTTCCACCGGGCGCCTCGAGGGGCGCGGGGGAGGCCAGTTCGGCCCCAGCCGGAGAGATATGGGAGGGGACTACAGCAGGAAGGGCACGGCGTCGGACCCACGCAAGCAGTTCAAGACCCTCAAGTCGACGGCGTTCCTAGGATGACGAGGAACCTTTCCTCCTGGGCTTTCGAGGAACGTTCCTAGCCTGACGAAGAACGTTCCAAGGATGACGAAGAACGTTCCAAGGATGACGAGGAACGTTCCTAGCCTGACGAGGAACGTTCCAAGGATGACGAGGAACGTTCCTAGCCTGGCGAAGAACGTTCCAAGGACGACGAGGAACGTTCCTAGACTAACGAGGAACGAGGAGGGTGGTGGTGGTGGTGGTCTTCTCGTTCGTTGTTCGGGTAGAGGTGCTGGCTGCTGTCTTGGCTTTCCGTCAGGTTAGACGAAAAACAGAAGCCTATGTACCCCAACCCCCTCGCCTGTTTGATCCCGCACGTGCCGAGAGAAGAGGAGGCGGCGTAATTGTAGCGGTTGTGCCGCATTTTTGCTACCGGGCGCGCATTTTGAAGCGCTCGAAGAGGATTCCTGGACGGCATGGTAGTTTGGGGGCGGAGTGGGGGACAATTGCCGCGCTGCCTATTTGTGTTGGTTGCATCTTTGCATTATTGCAAAGTTTAATGGATGGATATTGCTTGGGGGAGATGGAGTGCGCGCGATAATTTTTCACTGTGTTTGTTTCGTCGTCGGATTTTTGTTCGTCCGAGCAGAGGAGTTCTGCGGCCGCTTTTTTGTTTTCCTCAAACCTGACAAGCCTCTGGTGGCGTAGTAGCCTTCCAGATCCCCCGAGGGGGGGGGAGCGTCGTCACTTTTTGTCTCGAGGTTGGCACATATTACAGTCGTTAGCGTCGGGATAAAATATATTGTGGCGACCTTTCTGCTTCTGGTCCAACTTTGGTGGTGCTGGAACGAGTGACTGACTGCACAGAGAAGGGGGGGTGGGACAACGGTGCTAAGCTATGTACGACGCGGACGGGTGCGGCGCCCGTGTGCCATGATCGTTGTTCGCTGAATTGTGTCTGGTTCCCCGAGATGCGACGACACAGCAGGTGTGCAGAAAGAACGCCTGTTTCTTTTCTTACATGTTTGATAAAACCCACGTAGTTACATGCGAACGTAAGCAGCGGCTGGAGATTCCGGCTCATAGGCTCTTGACTCGAGCGGAGCGCGGAGCAAGACGTCGGCCATGTTTTTTCTCATGTCTTTGTTGGCGCAAGGGGGATGTGTTCTTGAGGCTGGTGTCGTGAGTGTTGTTTTGTCTGGACGATGCTACGCCTTTCTGACCTATTCAGCACCTCTCCTACGGTCTATTCCGTGCCAACACCTGTTCAGACACACGTGAAAAAAAAAAAACGGATTTGAATCAAGGGTTATTTTATTTTCTACGGGCTTAGGTGGCTTGAAACCCCGATCTCCTTGATCTCCTTCTTCTAAGTAGCACTAGAGCATTCGTATCGGAAACGGGAAGAAGAGAGAAGGCACGCACAGCGACTGCTGTTCGGGGGGGGGGGGGGGGGGGGGGGGGGGGGGGGGCCTTTAAGGGCAAAAAACCCAAAAAAGGTTTTTTAAGGGCGGGGGTCCCCCCCGGGGGGGGAAGAAAAAAAAAACCCCGGGGGGGAAAGGGGGGGTTCATGCCTTTTCCCCGGACGCCCGGAGGGAAAACCCCCCCCCCCAAAAATTTGGTTTCCCTAAAAAGGCCCGGGGCCCAACCCTTTTGGGGGGGGGGGGAGGTTTTAAAACCCGGGGGGGGAGGGAAACCTTTTTTTTTTTTGGGGGGGGAAAGGAAATTAAAAGGGTTTTAAAAAAAACCCCCCCGGAGGTTTTTTTTTATCCCCTTTTTTTTTGGGGGCGGGGAAAAAACTCCCGGGGGAAAAAAATTTTTTCTCTTTTTTTTTTTCCTTGCAAAAAAAAAAAAACCGGTTTTGGAAAAAATTCCCCCCCCCCAAAAAACCCCCCCCCCGGAAAACCCTCCCCCAGGGGGGAAGGGGGGGGGGGGGGCGAACCCCGCCCCCCCGGGTTTACCCCCCCCAAAAAGGTGGAAAAAAAAAAACC